TTTAAAAAAAGACGCAAACACATTTTTCTCTTCTTCTGCTTGAATTTTTAATTAAAGAGATCTTTCACAAACGTAAACTAACATTTTATTTTTTTATTAACCTTGCTTGTCATGTTTGCAAGTTTCTCCATCTAAATTAAAGGTAGGTCAAATGTGGCTAGGTAAACATTTCAGTTTCTTTTTTCTTCACATGAATTTATTGTACATTCGACGCCAAAATGAAAGCAATCCTATTGGTCTTTGCTTGGTGTTGTGACTTGTTACAAACTATCCTGAATTCCTAAAGCTTAGAGTGTAACGCAGAGAGAATTACTCTCTCCAAGAGAGGAAGTAGAGCTTTCTTTCTCCGTCACTGCAGACCAGCTCAGTGGGTCTTTGTGGATTCACCTCCAAGATCAGAACAGGACCTCCACACACAAACAAGCCCACCTGCAGAAAGAAAAGGAGACAGGGTGAAGAAAATCATCCTTGCTTTAAGAGAAGTTAAAATAATTTGACAATTAATCTCACAATTTTTACAATATAAAGCCAGGAATCTTACAACTTTGCTGCTACTCTTGGAAAAACCCAGAAACTATTCTAATGGTTGTCAAACTAGGTCTTAATTCATATATATAATCAAATGTCAAAACGCATCATTGGTATAGGGGAAAATATCAAATGTTGTATTTGTAGGGGAAAGCTGAGGCATAAATCAATTTATTCCTATTCAGGAAATTAAGTTAAAAGATTTAACACACCTCACAACTAGAGACTGTAATTTACTAGTAGAGATAACTGTAAAATGTATTTGCTGGGTACTGTTTTCAGCTGCAAAAACACTGTAAACACAGTAAGTTAGCAAGAATGTGATAAGGAGACAAACATAATCTATGACCAGATTGTTTTGTGGAGTTTGTAGAGTACCTGATTCTTGGTGTCTCTGTTCCACAGCTTCACTGTCCGGTCATAGGAGGCTGAGATGATGGTGCTGTCAGTGAGTCTCAGCACACTGATCCTGTCACTGTGAGCCTGCAGATAAAGCATCACAATTACAAGGAGGAAAGTTG